TATAAAGTCAGTTAATTATTTTCTGCAGCCTGTCCTGGTGCCTTAATGGTTTGACTCTAGAAAGATTTATGCTTACAGCAATATTGTCCAAGTCTATGAAGTGAAGTCCAGTCAGTACAGCTGCTGTTTTGACTTTACACAGTGAACACACCTGCCTGAAGGCCGCATTGAAAAACATGGTTGCTGCCCAGGAAAGCTGTCAAATCATTCAAAACTCCAACAAAGTAAAATCTTCACTCTGATCCAGTGAGCTCAGGTTTTCTTTTAAATTGGCTGGTAGCTGGTGGTGGGAGAGGAGTTAATTAGAACTGAGAATGAAGTAACATTAAGAGAGGGATTTAATGCAAAATCTGCTGTGTATGAACGCTTCAGCTGGGGGTAACCACATTCATAAAGTGCTGCCACGTGGAGAAAAGTAACGTGGCAGAGATCGATTCATTCTGCAGCAACTGTTCCACCCTGTCACCTCTGAAAACAACAGTGTGTTCACTTTTTATTTACCTTTAGTTGTGGTTAAAAATGATTTTATGGTCATGCAAAGATAATATAATAGTTAAAAATAAGTAGAAATGTATTAAAAATATTAACATGTTACCTTTACACACAGGCTTTAGTTTTTGAAATGCAGTTTCTATTATTTTTGCTCTTTCTATAATATTAAACATATTAAGATGTTAACTCTCTGCCCAACATAGCCTGTGAATGCGTTCACTTTCTAACAGATACCACCCTCTTGTGGTACATGTTCTGTTTCACAAGTCTATTTTCAACTACACTTGTGGAACAGTTCAGAACATCTAAATTGAATGAATGTTTTCTTTAGATCATCCTTATGCTCAAAACATTTACACTTGTTACCTTTATTGTTTTTTTATGTAACAAAGCCAACCACATTGTTGAGAATAATGTGTCTTGTCAGAATATACAACCTTAGCAGATTTTCAGAAACTGAATGATTTGCTACGCATGTATTTTGTAAACTCTGCAGTGGGTTTTGAAGTTGATGAGTAAGTTAAAGAAAACTTTGAATCTAAAGGGGCTAAAAGACAAAGCTATGGTGCATGAAATCAATAAACTCAGACTGTACATGCCACACAGTCCTGCAAAGAGGTCTAATTAAATAAAAGGTGCACGCACCCATATTCATTTTAGGAATAGCAGTTTTACACTAGAATGACTGCAGGGTGTCATACTCTGTGTGTATTTGTGGTTTTGGGGTAAAACGACTTAAGTGTTTTGTCTTCTTGCAGAATAAAGTGAATTCTTTCTATTGAATGCAATCCTAATTTACAGTTATTGGATAATATAATCAGGATAATGCAAAAATTCTTCCTGAGCGCAGTGAAATCTGAGCATAAATGGTTTTGGGGTAAAGACACTAACTGTAGCTATACATTAAAATGGTGCTGTGGTCTATGCACACGTTTTCAGGGTTGTTTTGTTTTGTTTGTTTGACCATGGTGCAAAACAACTTGTGGCCCATCTCCTTTTTCAATAAAAAGCTAACAGTCATGTAATTCCTTGTCACCCGAAACAATGACATTTTAAAATTTTCAAAATATAAGTAAAACAATTCGAGTAAAATCCTAAGAAATGAAAAAGAATATTACTTGTACCCTCGAGACAGATGATGCAAGATCTAAATACCAATGTATAAATATCAAAACATGGAAGTTTGCAGCTTAAATGCAATGTCTATTATTCATATAAATCACTTATACATTCCCAGTATAATGACTCATGTTGTTCTACTGGACAGGCATCACAAGTCTGAGGTGCCAGTAGGTGTGAATGGTTTCTGTCTCTATGCGTCAGCCCTGTGATAGCCTGGCAACCTTTTCATGGTGCACCCCCGCCTCTCACCCAGTGTCAGCTGCAACTCTAGCCCCCGACCCCATGGATGCATGGACTGATGAATATGCATACTGTGTGTGCAGGCACATCTTTTTGTCTCTGTGTTCTTTACCAGCAACAGCTTGTGAATTAAACATACTTAGAGTTATTTGCATTTGGATGAGCCACATTTCACTAACAAGTAAATTGGTCTCCTGTGCCTCAGGTCTATGCAACCGTAAAAAATCTGACAAATGTAATTTTTAACACGATCAGACACTAGTGGTAGTGGTGAGACAAAAAATGTATCTCATAATATCTTTGTCTTTCTGGATAGACTTCTACAAACAGTTATGTACTTGTCATCAAGGGAACTGTACAAACTCCAGCCAGGAAACTCCACAGCTACTGTATCTGCCAAGTGAAAAACAACACCAACATGGTAGAACCACTGTTTGAACACACCACCTCATTTGTCATTTCTCTCTCCATACACAAACTTTATATCATTATATGAACTAACAAGTTCACAGCTGTTACAGAATTATTGGTACTACTATTTGATAGGGAGCAGTAAATTCACCATTTACTGATAGTTTATACAGGTCATAGAGAAACATGTTAAATGTTCACTTGACATATTTTTACATTAACAAATTACATCAAATTACATTACCTTCTGCAATGATGAAAACTTTGCTCTCTTTTTGGAAACTAGTCATGTTGAATTTGAATAAAAAGTCAAACTCAGTGGACTTCACACGAAGCCAATGAGGTGCATTAAACCTGAAATGGTCCGCTAGATGAGTGTTGAGCTAGTCAAATGAACTTTGCCTTTAATATAGATTGTTATTGGCTGTACCAATCCCCCACCCACCCCCCCACCCCCCAGTGAAGCTCCATGAGTGCATGACATCTGGTGATGAAAAGGGACTGAGTCTCCCTCTTGTGGCAGCATTTCTACTTTATTATATTGATGGGTTAGTCAGTACAAAGCTGTGCTGTGCTGCCAAACTGTAGTAACATTTCCTGTGTAAACACTCTCAAAGATACTAAATATGTCAGGCTGTGGAAATGTTTATGGAATATCTTGAACATCCCCATAATGGGTTGATGCATATTAGACAGCTTTAAGGAAGAGCTGGATCAAAATGATACACAACTGATTTTGTCAGAAAACGACAATGTTATAGCTATTTAGGGAAAAACTGTATTTAATATGGTTAAAAAGTAATGGCTTAATTTCAGGATCTTAGTTTGCATTTAGTATTAAAACATTAGATCAAATCGCAGTTGGTCTTATTAGATTTTGATTATGATGGTTAAACAGACAAACCCATAATTTATAGCTATTTGTTTTGCATTCATTATTTATCAGCTATTTATACTTAAATGGCTTAGTTAAGATTAGCCTCATTAACCATGATGCATGTGTGCTGCTTTTTTAATGCAGTTTGTTTGAGGCTAATGAAGTAAAGCAGGGAGTTGATACATTTGTTAGGTCCAGCTTCTCCAGTGGACTGATTCACTGCTCTCCTTTGTCTTGATAGCAAACACATTATTTTGAGGTTTTAGATTTTGAAGATGTTAACTTGGTTTCTGGGAAATGGTGAGGAGTGATTTTTCACATTTTAATTGACATTTTATTAGACTAAATGTTTAATCGAGAAAAGAATTGGTAGGCTGCCACGTGCAACACTAATGAGCAGCTACTAGAGGCTGTTGTATGAACTGAGGAGAAAAGCAGATTCCCTCAGAGGCTGGTGAAAATGAGCTATAATGCCATCATGTGTCATTATCACAAACATGCCATATTTTATCACACTAATAAGGGTATATATGCAAGGAGCGAGACAATGATGCCAGAGAGGGACAATCAGACAAATGCTCCATTTAGGCTACTAAAGATCATCATTTTCTTTTCACATTGTTTTATTCATTTACTTAAATGACACTTTTGGCTTCATTAAACCAATTACTGTTGTTGCAGCTGGAATACAATTAGAACCCTTTCAACATCTACATATATATAGTAAATAAATATAAATATATATTTATTTATTTGTTACACTAGCTCAAATGAAAATGTCACCTTAAACAGCCTACACATGGTCCAGACTAGTGGCTTTGCTTCCCCCGTGTGGATAAGCTCCTTGTAGCTCCAGAATGAGCTCTCTTATCTACCGAGAGGAATACCTTTGGAGTGGTGTAGATGACAAAACCATTTGTGTAATATGGCAAATGTTTTTTATAATCTTCTATTGTCTCAGTGCTACATTGTACAAAGGCATAGTCAAACTCATTTTCATTTCAAGATAGTAATTTGTGTGTTTGTGTGTGTGTGTGTGTGTGTGTGTGTGTGTGTGTGGCTTTAAAAAAGTCTGAACTAAAGCAGAAGTAGGCTTAAAGAAGTTTTGCTAAAGATTTTAGGCAAACCAGAAGGCTGACTGTGTAGTTATATTGTCTTTAAAGGGCAAGTCAGTGCTTAATCAATGTTTCTGAGATAGTGAATTAAATATGCAAACCCCTTTTATACTATCTGCAACTATAAATAATTTTGGTTTAACTCTATAGTGTTAGTAAATGCTACAACAGTTAGTAGCCTTACTCAAGAAATAACTGTGTGCTTCAGTTTTAAGCATAAAGCTTTGTGCGTGTTACATTCAGTTAATTGTTGGGTGTCCTTTAATTTAATTTTCTTTCCATTGTCCCTTGTGAGAATGAGCCAGATTTTTTCCCCTTGATGTTCTTGTTTTGTAAGGAGTCAGACAAATGTAAGCTATTACAGTATGTACATGCTGTTTTATGACAATATCATCAAATTAAATCTATGATCTCTAAATACCAGGTTCAAAGTAGATTTCAAGTAAAGTGGAAGTTTAATAGTGACAACTGCGCACAGACACCCCCTCTCCCATGGCATGTATTCAGTGTAAAGCACTGAAGTATATAGCCTATTACATTATCCATGTAAACTTAGGTTGACAAACAACCAAACTTGGACATGTCAACCAACCCCACCCAGTTTTAATAAGGGCGGCTTTATTGGCTCGTGTTTCTGTAAATCCGTTCCCTCTTCGTCTGGCCGCTGCCATTGGTCGGCGGTGACGACAATCCTGCTCCGTGCTCCCGCCTACCGAGCGGATCAAGTTTGAATGAACAACAGCAGTCTATTCTGGAGGTGGTAGTTGCATTTGCCGTAATTGTTAAAAGTGTGTATCATATCACAGGTACGCAGATCAAGGATGGACATGAAGAAAAGAATTCATCTAGAGTTGCGGAATCGCACTCCGTCAGATGTAAGTCGGCCTCACATGTCGCTGCTAATGTTTCACACTCCGCTAATGGAGAATTTCGTGTGATGTCTTGGCGTGGGGGTACAAAGTTTCTTACAAGTTAAAAGATGATGGAGACGAGGGGTCACAATGTTGCTTTGCGATCGTGTTTACCGTCGGCAGGCGCTGCAGGTAGGCTGCTTGAACTTTTGTGCGGCTCTGGGTTCACGTTTTTGGTGTGCAGTTTGGGAATGCAGCACAGCTTTTTTATGCCAGCGGTATAAACAAGGCAAGCACTATGAGAAGCCATATTTGTAACTTTTGATCTAAGAACGCGCCCCCCTTTCCTTTAAAACCAGTCTTATCGTTATGTGCTCGTTGTTGGTGTACCGTCTGCACGCTTTGGCTGGTGAAACGCTTTTACTGAAACATTTTATTCCATGCACTTGGCGCCTTAAGGATGCGGAGACTCAAGTCATGAAATTATCAATGATGCATAAAGATCATATCCTCGAAGTATCGCCTCACAACTGCATCTTTGATCAACAGTTACTCAAACTGTCCAGTTGAGCTCGTTTTTTTTCTGCGGGACGTGCATTCAAACACCACACTGGTGAGCCTGGAGCTCGTACAGCCTCCAGCCGGAGTCACGGTGCGCACAGATGGCCGAAAGAAAGCATTAGCGTTAGCACAGACCGTTTCCGGGCGAAAACACGGAGAGAAGAAGCACAAACACACCCGCGTCCTTATTGACCGTCGGGTGTTCATTCAGTCTTTCCATTAAACTGTTGTTTGCGATTCGAGAGACCCAGCCGTAATGAAAAGACACAGTCGAGTCGCGGTGCTGCTCTAGTTTTCCAGAACTAGGACAAGCCGCCATTTTACTGAGAAACAAAGGCAAACTGAAATCCACGGACTATCCCGTTCATTCGACACGAACTATCAACGATTCATCATACCTTCTTAATAAATGACGGCTATACACGCCACCAATCCAATCGGCAACTGTTTAGCACAAGCAACAATGAAACGTTTGCCTGGCAGCTATCTAATCGGCTTTAGCTGCCCCTCCTACTCACAAATGACCCTGTGTACGACTCGTAGGTCTGTTTTGCTCCGACTTGTTTGGACTAGTGTGTATCTGCGCCGCTCATAACCACGCACGCACGTCTCATTTTACCCTACACTTGAACCCGGTAGCCAGTAAAAATGAACAAGCAGGCCTACAAACCGCCGTGCTGTCTGTTTCTACTGATAAAGTAGCTAAATGTGATATTTACGTAACGGAAGGAGAGCCGGTGCATCGCGATACCTAGAGCGTTGAAATGTGTGTTGTCTACGGGATATTGATTTGCAGTGTTTTTACAGTCCCGCTCCTCGTTGCTGATTGGCTGAGTCACGTTATGGCCGCGGTATAATATCCGATAACAGCACACCTGTGGCCACACGTCAGGCTATTTAAATATCAGTGCCGAACCAAAAGGCTCATATGCCGTGTACATTGAGTATATACAGTTGAATGCTAAAGTCTAGGCACCCCTAGACAAATTGCTTAAAAAAATCTAGTAAAAAGCAGTAAATACGCCCAGCACCAAACAGACCTTATTCAAATATTCACGCACTGTAAATTTTTCACAAACTTAAAAAAAACAAACATAGCAGGTGCAAACGATTGGACAAGGTAATAGCGGTGTCTGTACTTAATAATTCCCACTGTTCCAGCAGTTGAGTATGGTGGTTGAAATATTCTTTGGAGTTGTGTGGCACAACAAACCTTGTATGTAGAGGAGGAACCAAACAGAATAAGCAAGCAGCTGCCCTGGGACCCCAGAATCCCAGGTTTACTCCATATCACTTGGCCTTTCATAATTTGATTAATAACACTTTTGTCAGAAACATGCACCAGTTGGCAATTAATGTCCTCTTAGATGACTGACTAATGAATTGTTTCAACTGCAGGATACTGGTTGGTTTTCAGGTGTCCAAGGAAATACTTAAATTCTATGTTAATGAGTAAGTTAATCCAGCCATGATTCCACTAAATATCAGCAAATTCTGGATGCATGTGTTATGCTGTCAAGTCATTAAAGTGAAACTGAGGAGTCTGGCTACCGCAAGAAGACAATTATCTAAAATAGACCTCAAAAATTAACCACTAACATTTTCAAGAAACACAAACTGAAAATTTTGAATGACCCTCAGTCCCTGACTATTATTGAAAATCTGAAAGTCAACCGTAAATGTGCTGTGTCTGAAAGACAGCCTAAAAATGTGAAGTGATCTGCAAGAAAATGGATGACATGTATTAAATCAACAACAAAGGCTATAAAGGGCTGTTCATGTTTTTTGCATCTGTGGTTCATTGATGTAAATATCCATCATCTTTCCAGGTCTGTAGAGACTGTGCGGACATCTGTGTGACACCAGGCCAAAGAAGTGCGTCTGCACAACAAAAATCCTGGACTGCGCATGTACCATAATGTGAATTTGAGTGGAGCAATAGTGTGCTAAAAATTGAAACCAATATCAGTGCCACGGGTTCGAGTCAGGGTTGCGTCAGGAAGGGCATCTGGTGTAAAACACGTGCCAAATATCAACTGCTGTTTTCCCATTAGGGAAAAAGCTGAAAGTGACATTCATCCAGGCAGAAAATGGATACACATACCTTGTACTTATTTGATGTGAATATATCTTTCAGCTGAATTCTCAAAATTGACACATGCTGACCAGATTTGGTTTTGTTTGTGTATTCTACAGGTCAAAGAACTTGTGTTAGACAACTGTCGCTCAAATGAAGGAAAGATCGAGGGTCTAACAGACGAATTTGAGGAGCTGGAATTTCTAAGCACAATCAATGTTGGACTGACGACAGTTGCCCACTTGCCGAAGCTAAAGAAACTCAAAAAGGTGGGTGTTTTAATGCGCAGAACACGTCTTTAGGTTTAGGTTGTGCATATTTTCATTGTTTAATTTATCAACAGCTTGAACTCAGTGACAACAGGATCTCAGGAGGGTTGGAAGTTCTGGCAGAGAAGTGCCCCAGCCTCACACATCTCAACCTCAGTGGCAACAAGATTAAAGACCTCAGCACAATAGAACCATTGGTAAGTGGGGCCCCCAAATACTTTGAAGGGAAAATAGCACAATATACAAAGCAGCTGGCTGTGTTCTTTATGAAAATAATTTTCTTTTGACAGAAAGAATTGGGGACTCTGAAAAGCCTAGATCTGTTTAACTGTGAAGTGACAAACCTGAACGAATACAGAGACAACGTATTCAAGCTACTACCCCAGCTCACATACCTGGATGGGTATGACAAAGATGACAAAGAGGCACCAGATTCTGACACTGAGGCTTACGCAGAGGGCTTGGATGATGACGATGAAGAGGAGGACGGTATGCTAGAAGATACAACTTAAGTCCTTCATATAATGTTGGCATTTGGAGCATTTAACCAATTAACCACTGATTTCACACAGATGTAGATGAGGAAGAGTATGATGAAGATACAGCACCAGGAGATGAGGAGGAGGAGGAGGGAGAAGAGGATGAAGAAGAGAACGAAGAAGAGGAGGACGACCTTAGTGGAGAGGTTTGATTCAGACGATGAAATAAAACTTTGCAATTGTTAAATTATAGTCGTCAAATAACCACACTGACTGTGCCTCGTCTTTTTAAAAAAGGAAGAAGAGGAGGAGGATGTGAATGACAAAGAGGGTGAGGATGAGGAGGATGAGGGTGAGTAAAATAGGGGTTGACTTTAACTTGGAAGCCATCTCCCAGTTCCATACTATATGGTATACTGGTTTTTAGCAATTAGTACAACATACTTAAAGGTAGGGTTGGGCAGTAATACGATATTACTGTTTACATACACCTTAGCCAAATACAATTAAACGTGGTTTTTCCACAGCTCCTGACATTTAATCCTGTCAACATTCCTTGTCTTAGGTCAGTTAGGATCACTACTTTATTTTAGGAATGTGAAATGTCAGAACACTAGAAGAGAAACAGATTTATTTCAGCTTATATTTTTCTCATCACATTCCCAGTGGGTCAGAAGTTCACATATACTGGGTTAGTATTTGGTAGCTTTGCCTTTAAATTCTTTTAACTTTGGTCAAATGTTTCGGGACGCCTTCCACAGGCTTCTCACAATAAGTTGCTGGAATTTTAGTCCATTCCTCCAGACAGAACTGGTGGGACCGAGTCAGGTTTGTAGGCCTCCTTGCGTTGTTGTCCTTAAGCCATTTTGCCACAACTTGGAAGTCTGTTTGGGCTCATTGTTCATTTGGAAGATCCATTTGTGACCAAGCTTTAACTTCCTGGCTGATGTCCTGAGATGTTGCTTCAATATATCCACCTAATTTTCTTTCCTCATGAGGCCATCTATTTTGTGAAGTGCCCTAGTCCCTCCTGCAGCAAAGCACCCCCACAACATGCTGTCACCCCTGTGCTTCATGGTTGGGATGGTGTTCTGCTCACAAGCCTCCCGCTTTTTCCTCCTGACAAAACGATGGTCATTATGGTCAATGTAGCAGATTTGGGCTACAATTTGATAAATTTTACCAGGCAGTTGAAGTGAGCCACGCTAACAATGAAATTATTAATCCAGTCTCGATCTGAAAGCAACGAATCCTCAGTTCAGTGACTTATTACTGAGAATAAAGGAGACAGAAGATGACAAACAGCCAGTTCTAATCTAAATCTATTTACATATGTACAAGAAGGGCAAGGGGAAACTGGATGTAAAATGCATGACATGGTACAGTGTAACAAAAGGATCAATGGATTTATGACTGAGTAGGCTTTTAGTTAGCAATGGTGGAAAATGAGTTGAAATTGTCTAAAATAACAGATTTTTGATCCAAGTTATGTGATTTGAGCATGTTTTTGTAAGTTGCAGGCTTTAATTTAGGGGATACATCAGCTCAACCACGTGTGGGCTACTTATGTTAGCCGACAGCAGGGCTCAGACTTCACGTTGCTGGGAGGAGCGACGATCTTTGTCGGGACCCTTTCTGGGTCTGAGCAGGGAATTGTGGACCGATGCTCTGGGCTGCACACTCAGAGAAGCCTGTCAGTGCAGCTTTGCTGGCCATCTCGGTTGGGGTGAATCTCTCTCACCTTCCTTGGCTTTGTTCGGGAGCTGGCTGGATGGAGGTGGCTTTTTGGAGATGTCTCAAAGAAAACTATCTAATTTGATCTAATCGCCTCTGGATTGTTCTGATGGTGCTTCTGAAGTTTAGCACACAATTTGGCTTAAATAAAACTTACTTTCTATATGTTCTTAGTCTACAAACTATGGCTGGAGGGCTGTTTTTCCCTTAACATTATCCTAACCACGGTGCCTAAGGGGGGCGCCACATGAAGCCGAACCTTGAACAGGAGAACAGCATTTCAAAGGGCGATCACTGACACAAGATGGGGCAAGCAGCCAGGGCAATGTGTGAACAAAAAAAACACTGAAGTTTTCAACAATGACAACACCTCAAATCCTACCAACATTTATTTCAGTTGCTACCCACCCACATTTAGTTTATTATTTACCTGTACCAGTGATTTAATAGGCTTTTTCTTTTGTTTTTTTTAAAACCCTTTTCACATAATTTTTGATGGGTACCCAACCTGCTGCAGTATGTGGCAGATTCAGACAATCTTTATTGTCCATCACAAACATACTCGCTTTTAAACTTAAGGAGTTTGAGCCATTGCTGTTGTCATGATGCAAAAACCTGAAAGACAGGAAACCGTTATTTACTTGATTCTGATGTTTGACTCTCTCTAGAAGAAGGGCGAGGTCAGAAGAGAAAAAGGGAACTGGATGAAGAAGGGGAGGAGGATGAAGACGATTGAGACCTCTCCTGAACCCAAGTTGCAAACTGTTTTAAGCTTGTATCTCCCAGTCACTTCCCAACAACCCTGTGTATTTTCCCCTAGTTTCATATTGCAGTAGGAGTGGTTTTTGTTATTGGCCAGTCAGGTAGATGGGGTTTTCTGGACAAACAAGTTAAATTTATGTATCTTTGATGCTCCCGTGTTCGAGTCTTTACAGTCCACTTTTAACTGCTTTGTGGACACTGAATTTTTTTTTTTTTTTTTGTAATAATAAATAACAGCAAAGAAACATTTTTAAGAAATGTTTTTCTCACTGTTTGTGGAAGACCAGTTTCTGATGACATGTATTTTAAGCTGCCCCCTCCCCCCAAAGGAAAAACAAAAATGAAACAAAAAAAGAGAGCATGTCTAATACATTTTAAAGTCAGTTACTGGATTTCATGTATGGCTGTCCTCTCCTTGTCTTAAACTTATTTTTGCATTGTACTTTATTTTTAATGTAAGTTATGTATTTGTAGTGTCACCAGTAGGCCAATACTCTCTGCTGTCCTGGTGTGAAACTTCTGAACATGCAATGTGACCCTCACAGGGCATATTTTTAAATCATAGCAGAAAAATGTCTGCCCTTGTCAAAGTTACTCCTTCTCCTGAAACCCTCAGCTTTGATAGTTCGGAAATTACGTGTTCTTGTAAATAATGACCAAATCTATTTTTTTGTATTCTCTTTGATGATGGCAGACAAACAGACAACTGAGGTGAAACTATGAATTGTAATAAGATATTAAATATGTATGCTGCTTTATCTAAAATACGCAGTGTGAAATTTTTTGAATTTGAAGATAACTTTGTATGCATAATCTTTCCATCAAGATAAATGTTCAACATTAGAATCCATTACGTTTCCCACATTCTTTTCTGAGAGACACAGGCGGCGGTGTTTGAATTTGTAGTGGTAGAGTAGAGAAGTGCTCGATTAAAAATGGAGGTTAGAATCCCGCATTATATGCATTGAAAATTTGTTTCATTGTAAACTCTTGAAAACAGGAACTAGTTCAAACTTTTTTTTTCACTAGTACACACCATGGTCAAATTGGCCTACCTCTGATTTTCACTCCACTGTCGTCAGCCAAATTCTGTTTTTCCCCATTCACTTCAATAAATTCCTTTTATACATGTTTTGAGGTTTTGTGTTCTTTGTATTGAGAATTCAGTTCTAGGTCATCAGGTACTGATGAGCAATCTAGGATGCATGTTTCAGTAGACTGAGATGTAATACTGTAGACTTGTCAAAGCCAAAATGCCATTCAGCAATTGTACAGAGTTTTGCCATTTTAAAAGCATGAAACTCGCATCATCCTAACAACCCAAAAATGAACTGGCTGATTTTAGTCCTACATGAAAGGCCCTGAAGTTTCACAGGGTTCAGCATCACCCGTCTTTCACTGTAGTACATTTCCCCACTGTCTACTTTCACTGTAGCTTTTTTATTTTTCCTGCAAGAAATGTATTTTTCAGTGTGTCAGTGGTTCAAGTTTAGTTAATAGAGGGTCCATGGCTTTTTTTTTTTTCCTGAAGCTATAAAACTTGAATGTACCTGCTTTGGTGTGTTCAGGAAAGACCTTCAGTTCTTAACATGCGTTCTTTTCACTTAGGGTACAGATTTCATTCTTGCTATCCATGCAGCAAATTCATCTTTATCCTTGGTGCACTAAGAGCGCAATCAGTATTAAGACAGGTAACAGCTTGAACCTGGCTGGCATAACAGAGCCAATCAAATCCTAATCCAGTATCCACTTCTTAGATTTCAGACTGTAGGGGAAAAAAACAGTTTGATGGTAAAAGAGAAGCATTTAAACTGCAAATTAGCCTAAATGTGTTGATAGTACAAACGGAGAAGGCAGGCAGATGACCAAGTCTCTGGGGCAAAATTACACGTCTACAGGTAAACACATCTCAGTAATGGTGATATATTTAGCTTAAATGTAAAAGAATGGTTATTAATACAGTCTTCTATGTGATTTAGAATAGGCAGGAATATATTTTCATACCTTATCTGGAGTTACATTGTTGAAGTCGAACTAATACCATTCAAGGTACAGGTTCACACAAATCTTGCACCATTTCAACCGGAAACATTCTGTAGAATCTATCAAGCATCACAATCATCACTTGCCACAGCCACATCATAAGAAAACAATGGGATTAACAAATGTTAATGTCAAAAATGTTACCAGCTAAAATGATCAAATAAATAGAAGCAAATATACATTACTGCCCATCTGCAAAATTAGCCCTAAAAACCAAAGCCAACCCTTGAGACTTGGTTTTAATGGTTATGCAAGTCCTCCACCCCTGGATCCATGTCTCCTTTGCTGCTGTCCCAGTATTTAAATAAACAATAAAGATACCTGAAGTCAGTCAACTACCCACTACCTGGGAAAAGACTGCCCTTGACTCATTGTGTGTCAGTGCTGTGAAGTAAATTTACAGCCAACATTTGTAGGTGAGAAACAAAGTAACAGGATAAGCAGCTCTGTGAAAAACATGCTCCATGACTGCAAAAGCTCTTCCTGTCTGTCGGATACAAAACTACTGCACCTCAGCAATTTTGAGATGAAACTGCATGCTTGCTGCAAACGGTCTGCAGCAGGTTTTAAGGCCTTAGGGAAGAAGAACAAGAGGCGGTGAGAGACTTTATACCCCCCAGTTTTGCCTCAACAACAAAGTGTGAATTTGGTTGGTATAGAAGGATGAGTTTAGGGGCTTTATTGGATGGTGATGGAGGACAGGGTTGGCATAGTGAGACAAACACTTCTAGGTGGTCTAGCTGAAGATGCACTGATCCTAGCTGTTGAGTGTGTGCTAGATGAAGAATATTCATTTGTTAAAAAAAAAAGAATACAAAAACCGACAACTTAAGGTACAGGTATTGACCAGTGAACACTGCCTTGCCTTCATTACTTATCATATTTATCATTACTACAACATTCCGGTACACATTACCCACCACTCATCACATTATTGAGTGCACTATGCAGGGCAGCAGGACTGAAGTTATATAATGTGGTATCAAAAAAAGCAGGGTGGGGGGGCTCAGAAGCCTGTTGGAGGTCCACATTAGGGGCAAAGGAAGCAGTTTTGCCAGTCCAGGAGGCTAAGAGGTCAGACATTGTTGGGACTAACATTCTTCAGGTTGTTGAGTTCTAGCTCCAGCTGGCGTATTCGCACATCCTTGGTGGTGAGCTCCTCCTTCAGCCGCCGCAGCTCATCCTGTTGCCGGAAGAACATTCGCAAGAGCTAGGTAAAAGAAAGACAAATGTGATGATGTATGTGACAAATACACTTTCACACAACTGTGGCAAGCTAAAAGAAAAGCTAAGAAATGAAATGCTAGAAGAAATTTGTAAAGTAAAGAACAAACATTTGCATTTTGTGGCAGGTTTACATTACTCACACATCACTTCACAACAGGACTGCACACACTGGACTGATCCACTTCTGCATTTTTTTGAAATATTAGTCTAGGAGTCTCACCTCAAGGCTCATTTATCAGCTTTTCTGGATCATATCAAACAAATAAAAGCATCCGATTACAGTGATGGTTATATTTAACAGCAAATGTATGATATGGTTGAAAGCTATTAAATGGATCTTGAGGCAAGACTTTTGCAAATCCTGTTTTCAAAGTCAAGAATGACCTCTGAAATTTAGTTTGACAAAATCTTCAATCAACATGTGTAACTAGCCTTATCCTGAGCTACTTGTTCTTTGATGCTTATGCTCAGTCTGATTATGTATTAAATTCTTCGCCCGCATTCAAATGACTACATCTATTCATCTAATGAAGTTGGATCCTCGTTAGCTGCCAGAACCGTATCTCCTCTTAATTTGGTCCATAGCTAAAAGCAGTTCAGGAAACAGGACATACTGTATACAGGCATCACAATGGAATATGCAGGACAATCACCACAACCTCAACTTCTTCCCAGAACATTGCATTAAAGAAAACAACTGTACAGCAAAAACAAAAACCAAAATAACAGCTTATCAGCACCATAACTTCATCATTCAGCTTGCCATTTGCCATTATTTACTGCATTAGTAGTAATATTTGGACTCCATAAAATCCCTTCTATTTTCTAAAACTAGTTGTACTTGCTGTGTTTAAAATAGAAGATTGGCAATAACAGTGTCATTCTAAGCCTAAGCTCTTCACACCTCATTCTCTGTCCTGGGTGGTACGTTCTCCAACAGGTCAATCCCATTCACTACCATAGCCTTCTTTTCCTTTACTGGGGCCTTGAACACCAACCGGTTTGGCCGGTGGTAACCATCCTTCATGGACATCAAGATGGGGTCTGTTTGGACAGAGGGGCAAAAACCAACACAAAGCACAGTAAGGCTACATGCTTTATGATGTTTTTATGAAGTTTCAATTAAATACATATAAAGCAAACATTCTTTATATTCAAAAATTGAGATGTATCCATTTTTGTTAAAAGCATCATTATTATATTTTTTGTTTAAAAAAATGTATTTAGTTGTATTTATGTGGTATTTTATTTAAACTTTTTGTCCAATTTTGCCTTATTGAACTGGATTAGCAACTACAGTATATGTGCCCAGATTTGTTTTGTTACCTAACTTTCAGTGTAATATGTTGTCTTGTGTTGTATTACATTTGATATGTACTGGAAAGTTTGAATTGCATTTTAAAAAAGACTGTTTGATATACACTGATGGTGAGAGCAGACCGACCATGATGAATGTAGGTGATGAAAACTAAAACATTCACCTCTTTTTAATGTTCATGTGGCTCATGCTGTTATTTTAAGACTCCACAAAATGCAAATCACAGCCCAAGTTGGTGACAAGACAAGCCACATGTTCAGTGACAGTGTGTGAAGAGTGGGCAGCTTTATTACTAAGAAGTGGTTTCCAGCATATCACTTTTGCTCACACATCACCGAATCCACAATAATATGTTGGTATTTCATTAAGCTTTTATGTACATTTGGCAAAACTGTGCTTCATTAAAAACCACCAAAGGAGTATAAGCCAATAAAGTGTGTTTCTAAAATGTTGTTTACCTCTGTCAATACCGCTCAGCCATTCGCTGGCAGACAGCGCGGGCTCTGTTCCTGCCGTCATGGGGTAGATGTCCTCCTGGTATGTGTCTGACTGTAAACACAGGAAACAGCCCATACATTCTTGTCTTATTGATCAGATTTGACAGAGCCGATTATCTAAAGGTCTGGGGGAAAATGGTCATTGTGGTTTCTTAACATTTTGCTGTCTCAAATCATAAAACATAACCTCTCTGCATAGGTATGAAAAGATTCTTTGTCCACACCAGTGCCTTAGCGATCACTGTAACTTACTGGCCTCTAGCTGTTTTGATGACAACCAACAACACATTTGGTCTCAAGTCAAACCAGTAAATGAAAAGTTATCACCTTATTATTACAGTTTGCATTCAGACTAATTACTTGTGTCCATGTTTGTTCGTAGCTCGGATTATTTGCTTATTAAATGCCAGAACACTGTATGTACAAGTGTTGCCAAGAGAGGTTGAATAAAATCAAATGGCTCTTTAAATCTATGTATTTAATAAAAGCAATATATTACAGAAATGATCAATAATCAGTTCTATCAAGTGTAATCAGTTCTTTCCAGTACTTTATTCCCACTCACCCTCCTTGGCACAATCATTGAAACGGGTTCAATCAAACCCTTTAGGGTGACTAGTTTGTAGAAGCGGTACACCTCGCAGGCTGACACGTCCAGTCCGTGTTTTGGCATCACACCTGCAGATAACAACAAAAAAGCATGTAATGACAACATAAATGCCCCTCCCAGAATTCATACAGTAGCTAATTGGAGTAATATCGGCAAGGGAAAAACAATCTGCTATAATATAACTGCATTGGACAAGTTAGTGGAGCCCATGAAGCTTTGTTAAGACAATATTTCAATTCCTTTCATGATTTCTATCCTTTAGGCCCCACCACACCACTTTAGAGCAGTACTGAGGATGGCCCATTTTCACAGTGATTCATTCCCTCCTCCCATCATTATAAATAGCTAATTAATTAGTTAGGACCTCTCCTTCTGCTCTCAGTGGGACTGATCATATATTGCTGACCAGCAACTTACCCAGTCCTTTCTGTGGGGCTGGGGACCGGAACTCCATCAGGTACTGGATGTACGGCTTCTCTGTTGTAATCTCAAAGTAACGGATGTTGCCGTCCCCCTGCCAAGGCACCAGAATGTGGCAATTATGTTCCAACCCAATTAGAAGATTGATTCTCATTACATTTGAATTTTTAATGCTTAAAGTATACCTGTTTTATGTGGCCTTTTTATGCTCAGACTTGCATAACAAATCTGTGCATTCTTAGACTGAGCATCTTTTAATAGCTTACCGCGAATTTTACATAATTTTTACTAACAGTTATTAAGAAAATGCACTGTAGACGGCAATGTAAAGCTCCACATCACCTAGACAGTTCAAAAGACAAACTAAAGCCTTTTCTCTCACTTCTTGACATCTTGCGAACAGTTTTCACCCTCAGAGAACATTTTTGTCAATAAAACATTTTAATTCCCTGCACTTGGCCAGGTATGTGTCACAGAGTATGATATGGCCAGTGAAAATGGCTCTGTAAAATATAGTAACATAAGAAATACTAGATACTACACAGTATATCTGCTATATGCAGAATGTTCTATAGTACATACATGATAACATCTTTGACAACTCAGCATTATCTCCTATTGTTTCATGTTAGGTGCTTGCTTCAATTATTAATCAGACATGTTCTACTTTTATATATTTCATGTGTGCAAAATTGCCATTTTATATAGTTAACACCAGTTAAATTTAGTTGATCTGATTATTATTATTAATGATATGTGCAGTAAAAAATATTCTTCACATTTTTCTTCATTTCATGGACTACTTCTCTTTTACAGCCTTAAAAGTATTGTAAAAACATGTAAAAATGTGAATCAAGCTATAACTAAGATAAATACTGCAGTGATGAACAATGAAGTCTTTGCTGTGACACAGTGAGGGACAGTTCTGACCTTGCCTGCCAGGTACAACATGTGTGTGTCAGCATCATAGAAGGGAAACAAGAGTCCTGAGAGGCCATCTATGTCCTCCTCCGCAATTGGCATGGATAAATCTTCCTGGGAAGAACAACACACACAGGGAACTAAACACACATGCTTGCTCCGCCAACTCAGTGGCCAATATGAGCCCGAGCCATACAGAGGTGTTGTCTGACCTGATCCCAGAGAGCAATCTGCCGGGTGTTCCAGCGAGAAACCCCCGTGGTGAGCAGCCGCTTCATGTTGCCCAGGAACACCACTCGGTTTACACGATGGTTCTTACAATTAGCTTGCTGCTGGAGCAGCACAGAGACAATGTGAGGCTTTTGTGGAACATACAGTGACTAAAAAAGCTAATTCTCATATGTTAACAGCATTTGTTCTACATATTCTTGTGAAGGCTGAGAGTAAAGAGATGAGAGTCTGCATAAGAAGCATAATAGTCTGTACCAGCGAGCCGCTCATAAATCAGCAGTATGAACTAAGGTAGTATTGTTTACAGCTTTTATACAGTTAGTTTGCATACAAGCATAAAAATAACATCTCATTTACTTGTTAAATGAAAAATGTGTTGCAAACAACACGCCACTGTTGTTCTCTGTTAGCAACTTTGAATGTTAATTTGTATTTCAGGTACATTTTCATGATTTGCCTCTTTTTCCTTTCCTGATCCTGCTGCCTTGTCTTGATCACCTCCACTTGGGGCAGCAGGGGATCAGCACATGGGTCTAATCAGAAATTATTACATGATGATCAGGCATCCTAATATATGGACTTCATCTTCTTAAATTGCTGTGGTAAATAAGAGGTTCAGATTAAGTGAAATGTATTTCACTTATTCAAATTCAATAATGTAAATATAACCAAAGGATTGATCATTTCCTGAGAAACAATCACTCAATAAAAATTATATTTTTAATATAAAGCTGTGACAGAGGGTTTCAATCAGTGGTCTGTGGCCCATTGGTGGTCCACAAAGTTAGTGCAAGTGGTCACTGTTTCAAAAATGTAATTTCACTGTAGGAATCGGTTTTGTTTAGTATTTTTTTAAAACTTCTATGTATTACTTATTGTTTGTGAATAATAAAAATCGTGAAAATATAAAAAAAAAAATTAGAAAAGCCATGGTGACTTTCAGGATTAAAATGCCTATTGCCTAGCAGGTGTATCCACCCCACACAGGTTACTTCTTAATCAGAACGGTCGTCCCTGGGTACCAACTAGTTGAAAAACACGCCAATAAAAATATGAGCCCCCTTCCTCCTACCTGAAGGACTCTCCCAGAGCGTGGCTCAATGACACGCAGCTTCTTGTCTTTGCAGCTAGTGGCCAGCAGGCTGCCGTCGGTGTTGAAGGACATGCTGAGGATGATGTCAGCGTGACAGTCGATCATTTTCACCGGGTCTCCAATCTCCAGGTTCCAGATGAGGATCTGACACAGTGAGGAAGGACTGTTTGCTCTATAGTTCTGTGCCTCAATCAGTGGCTTTATTATTTGTGAGCTTGTGAAGGGAATTTAACTTTGTCTTTTTGTGCAACTACTGACACATCAGACAGCAATGTCTGCTGATATTCAGTGAAATAAAAAATGTCTAATGGTTGCAACAGTGCTCAGTAGTACTGAGTTCTAAATGTTCCCTCTCTACAATAATATACATAATATTTTATCACCTAACAAATTTGTTTCTATAACTGAACTAATGGATTTATCCTACACAACAGCAAACCACAAAAACATTTTCAACACAAAGTAACTCCTGAAATTGGCTCAATTAGACACACTGAAAACAAACAGTATTTGCTTATTTAAAAAGGAACATTCTTTTAATCTACATTTAACACAATTTAAAAACCATTTGTATCATATTTGATACATGAGATTTCTGAGCAAAAAAAAAAAAAAAAAATCACCAAAAATGTCCCATGTATCAAATGTGATACAAAAGAAATAAAAATAATCTAAATAATATGGCACCTCTATTCCTATATGCCTGGACTGTCCGTCTATGCATATATGGCAAATTAAAATCGTGAATCTTGAATTTCGAATCATGAATTTTATTTTGGATTTTGTTAAAAGGTTTAATAAAGTTCCAAAAAATTAGAATGTTCTGGCTATTTTTTGATATGTTGGGCTTTACAGGGTTAAGTCCCTTTGCTGGTGATGCCAGTGTATACTGTGCTGATTCAAGCTTGTTGTGTTACTGATGTGATACCTTATAGTCATAACCAGCACTGAAGAGGATGCCACTGCTGGTGGGGTGCCACTCGATCAGACCCACCCGTCTGCTGTGACCGTACAGCTCCAGCACTGCCTCTGTCATGTTGCGCCTTAGACCGCCCTCTGGGATCTCCCATACTCGCACCTGCCATGTAGAACACATACAGAACACACAGTGCTTCATCATAAAGCATGCACATGCAAATACAACCAACCCTATCAGCCTTTTTCTAGAAGAGGGTAATAGGTGAATTATATTATTTCACTAGGGCCACTGCATGATTTTCATAACTCATTACTGTGAGTTCTGCACCACAATCAGTATGACACAGCTACAACCCATTACATTAGGATTAGCGTGGATTACAGCTATGGCTACAGGCTCTGTGTTGGATCAGAAAAGATTATCCTTCAACAAGAGAAGGCACTATATAGGACACAGTGCCGGTGGCACACCGTGGCTTCATGGTGCTCAGCAGAATAATGTAACAGATGATTGTACAGCAAGAAAAGGACAAAGGGGTCATAGTATAAGATAGGGAACCTGTGAGATTAAGAGTAACAGTGATTAAGATCCAAACTAATATCGTTTATCTAGTTAACTAGGTATCTCCACCAAGGAGGTTATGTTTTTGATTCTGTTTGTCATTTAGCAGGATTATGGACAAATGGCTGGATGGATCATCAGCATGCTTGGTACAGACAAAGGTGAGGACCAAGCCTAGAAATGATTACATTTTGGGTGAAAAAGGTCAAAGACCAAGGTCACAAAAAAGCCCCTCATCTTTACCATGGGGCAAAATTTAAAAAAATTCATATCTTGGCCAAAAGTTATCAAAATCATTTGAAATTTAACACATGTATGTAGGGTGGCAGTGTTTATCACTAGACCAAATTTCATCTGGAGCCAATCCGGATTCTGAATCATTCCACTTGTGTGAGCTAAAGTTGTATTTTGGTGGAGGTTCTTGGATGGTGTTCTTGTTATCTAGTCAGTTACTGAACAGATAGCATGTTTATGTCTTACTCAAAAGCATTTCATATCTGGCCCGTGACAACAACAAAGATTAGAGCAGCTGCCAGCCGAAATCCAATGACAAGCCTGTGGTCCAGTGCAAACACTCAGTGACCCCCTGGCCATAATGAACTGATGACCCGTGTCTCAGCATCTGAGAAAACCACAATTTCACACCTTTAAAGTCATCACACCATTACCCTCTATCATCCTGAGCCAACATGTTTAGTAAAAAAACAGACATTATGAAAACAGAATGAACACTTACTGAGGTGTCCTCAGAGCAGGATGCTATGATGTTTTCAAAGAAGGGATTCCACTTGATATCCAATACATTTCCTTGATGACCACATACTTTTGGGTAATGAGAGTCCAGACGACCAGACTAAAATGAAGTGAAAGAGGTACATTTGTTTTGGTATTTGCTTTCTGCTTCGGGGTTCCTAGCATGTAGGTGAAAGAAATGAAAATATCAGCATATATTACATCCTATTCTACTATGTGCTAGTGCTACACCATAAATAAGACTATAAACTAACATTCAGTTCTATTCCCACTAATAACAGAATATGCATATGCACATTTTGTGTTTATTTTATATTCCGTTTCCAGCCCATATTTATGAGACACTATTGAATTTATGGTAAAGTAACATGTGTGACAAAGAACAAAAAAATACACAGAACAACAGCAGAAAAGAAGAAAACTTTTTTCAAACAAAAACATTTTAAGAAAAATGTATTAAATTATATTTGCTAATAGATGCAAGTAATTATCCATGTTCCTCTATTCTTCTAATCAGATCATGACTAATGGGGAAAGAAAATCATTCTTACTGTAGGTTTTATTAATGTGAGCACAGAAGACTAAATTAAGATAATAAAAGTTAATCACATTAGTGAGATAACACGATAAATCTGCACAAAACAAAACAGACCTGGTTATTGTACAGGGAGCCCAGAGGCACATTATTGTTGATGTAATAACCCACAGAGCCCACAGAGGGGCACTGACTCATCATAACACACGACAGAAACCTCCTAATGTCGGTCATGATGTCATTCATGTTTGATGTCACTTCAATCCACTGACCTCTTTTTCATTTCCTCCGAGATTTGTTTAGGAGCATCGAGTCAAGGCTGAGTGAAATCCTGGATGTGTGTTTATATGCACCGTCCAGACTGATCCTTGAAGATTCACTCCAGATGAATTATCAGGCTTTTTTAACAGATCCCACTTTGAATCATAAATTGTTTACTATTTTTAAGGTGGAGAGCAGCTTCAGCTTCAGTAAGACTTGGGCTCAAAATAATTCTGTTGATGAATACGCATGGCTGATCAAGTTATCACCTTGGTGTTTATCCATATTGATCAAAGTTTGCTTGCTACTGACACCTAAGTCTGATAACGCACTGAGGACACAAAACCTGAGCCACAATTTCTAGCAATAATCTCAGCAACATACATAACAGCTACAGTATATATAAATATATATTTTTGAATATATTCATTGTAGCAAGAGGAAGTCCACCCAGAGAAAAATGTTAAATTTTCAAGCTGACACAATGATACTGAAGGTTTTACTAGCAAGACAAGGGATGCATGGTAAAAGCAATGTCTGCCAAACCTCGACAATGGTGACGTGGGGCATCAATTCAGTCAATATAAGAGAAGGAGGAGATAGTGGAACAAAGCAAGATAAGCATTCCAAACTCTCACAGGAAGTGCTAAATGTTAAATAATGACGTGGCAGATTAATACTACATTATACATATATAGGTTTTCTATAAATGTTGCCATGACTTTGAGGTCTTAACATGGCCTATCTGTTGGGACCCACAGGGTTCAGGAAGTCTCTGTGAGGTATGAGGAAATCAGAAATTACAGTGGAACATTAATTGAATAAAACCAACTCTTTCCAGCTTAAATTTGATGCACATGCCTCGACTGCTATCTCTCTACCACAGAAAGAAAAGGAATGTATAAAAACAGTCACTGTAACAGTCTGACACCAGCTAGCATTCATCTGGATGACTGACAGGAAAATGACACACATCCATATTAGGCCTCATTGTCTTTCTGCGGCTCATTTTATGAGGCAGCAGCAAATGCAAGTACTCCTGGTGGTGCACAGATGTGTTGGCCAGGTACCAGTGTCTCCAGTACATGAGATGGACCACACTGTGATTGCTCCGTACTCTATCAACTTCACCACTGCTGTGGTTACAGTGTTACAGAATTACAGAACAGGAGGAACTGAACTAATCTTGTTGCAGTGATATGATTTTACAAAGTAATTTAATCTCTTCTATACAAAAACTATAAATCTTAGACTATGTTATAAATATCCTGTGGTCTAATGTGTGGCACTGGTGAGTTTTTCTGCCTGCAGTGCCGGGGCAGTCAGGTGGTTTGATCACTGCCACTGGATTTCTGCTGGTGGTACGACCTACAGTAGGATCTTGTTTATTGTGACAGAATGACAGTTCAGTCTAAAAATCATACAATATACTGCAGCAAAACAATATTCTTCATAAATATGAGCACTGTCTCCCATGTGTTGGAAATATTCCTTTTATACATGCCAATAAAACACTGCAAATTACTCTACATACAGCAGAGTCATTCTAAAATAGGCACCTATCTGGACAAACGCAATCCAGGCAGGTAAACAAAAGAAATCAAAATCAGCATTTAAAATGAAATGTTGCACATTTATTTAAGGTAAGAAATAGTAGCTTGCAGCACAACAGGGTTGCAACTAATTATTTTTATTGCTGATTATGTTTGGTCTATAAAATGTCAGAACAAAGGCCTATCAAAACATCACAGAAGACAATGCAACACCTATAAATGTCCAGGTCTAATCAACCAGTGGTTAAAACCTAAGGATATTTAGTTTACCGTCACATAAGTCAAATAATATTCTCATAAATGTACTTGACAAAAAAAATCATAAATTTAAATAGTTACCTTTATGTTGAGCAACTGATTACTGGATTGATTCTTTTAGCCTGATAATATAAAAACTTAATATGCTGCACCCACTGTATGGCACACAGTAATAATAGTGGTAACAGTAGTAATTGTTTTCATTGTATTCATAAAGCACCACACTCTCTCTGTCTGACGTGATGAAGAGGTGGTTTCAACCTTATGTGTCATTTTCTGGGCAGGTGCGTGCACCAGGTGGTGCTGGCGGCAGTCCTTCCACTTGCTAGCGGCATTGTCCGGGAGCAAACATATGGTTGTCTCAACAGCTGTCATTAAGTGTCTGT